AGTATGAAATCGTGTGATCTATGTCACAGCAATACATCCTAATACAAGTCCACAATGCAGCATAAATCGTCATCAGAGCTTTAAGCAGTCTTTATACGCTGAGGAGGTCGTCGTTAAGGTTCAAAGTTGGGATGATACTGTTCTTTGGGAAGTGTGGGTGGGTGAGAGTAAAGAGGACATTTATAGTATGTCTATTGCCCCCGAAATCTGTGCCATATCAGTTATGAATCTCTGAACTTAAAGATGTACACAAATTTCAGTGGTTTGGGGTGTTGTCTGTTTAGGTATGTCAGCCCAAGCTACCTTTATTTTGTGTGCATTTATAGTTTGGTTCAAGAGTTCGAAATTGGTATTACAGAGTACATATTTTGGGGGACTCACAGACACACAATAAATATATTCCCCCCCTCCCCTCTCTCTCTCTCTCACACACACACACACACACACGCACACACACACACACACACGCGCGCGCGCGCGCACACACAGCCCAAAACACAGTATCTTTCCTAGTTTCAATCTCTAAATTGACCCCTTCAAATAGTTACATAATAAAGCAGTATACCATCTAGGATTAATTGTTATACACTCATGTTTGTAGCCATGACGACTCACCCAAACAATTACAGTACAGTAATATGTATTCTTCCCTTATACTTTTCTTCCCATAATTATAGATATGAATCTGTAATGATTAAATTTAAGTAAATTACATGCTTACAGAAGCTAATATAATACCGCAGTGCATCGCTCGTAGTAACACGAGGCTGTTTCAACACATACATGCAGATGAGGAAAATCTTAATGTTTTCAGGCTAGTCTTCCAGCGCGCGCGATAAACGCTAGAGTTTCCACAACGTAGTTACGGAATTAGATAAAATTCTCAAAACATATATTGAACAGTGTGCATTAGATAGTATTGAGAACAACAATGGCTCACTTCCACAATAATGAAATGCACTGTTGACAGAGCTACCAGCATCTTACAGAGAACTTTATAATATTCCTTAATGTTTAGTAATTCTCAAACAGTCAATCATAATTTATACAGTAAATTAACGTAGTACAGGTGGAGTTGCCATTTACATACTGGTATTCTACTGAATATGCTCTACAGGTACTGTCTGTAGTCTTATAGCTTGGTATTTCTTAACTGCAATGCATATTTCCTAGTCAAAATTTGCATGGTACTATTTGGGACGGACACGAATAGGAAAGTAACATCAAAATGGCTTAGGATTAACCTATAAACTTTTGTCCTTATAGACATGTGGGTAAAGTAGACTTGAAATTCCTAAATACTGAAAAATTAATTATACTTATGAGTAATTATTATCATGCCACATATGGGCTATTGCACTGAATAATTGGAATGTATTAGAATGGCACCAAAAAGTGACATATACTGTGACATTTATATTTGTGTGTAACTGTTACTTTGGAATACCTTAAGAGAAATTGTTTTAGTTTTGCATTCAGTAGAGGCTTTGGCAGAGTCAAGAGGCTAGTGTGAGGTGGTGGTGGTAGGCGGGAGGACCCAACCATCCCTCCCTCACCTCAGTACCACCTCGTGACGGTCAGCTCGCTAAAGACAATAAGGAATGTTCTACAAAATGAGAAAAATACACATACATTTCTGAGGCATAAGACAATTATAGCCTAGATATGAGGTAAAACATGACTAAGCAAACCTGTGGAGTGACCGTGACAACTGGTGGCAAGGTTGGCAATGACCATTCCTGTACTTCCTGACACCCTCAAAGATTCCTACAAAATGTTGCGTTTATTGTAGTGATCAAAGTCGTACCTTTACGTGACTCATTCATTTTCAGTAAAATTCTTGGCCTTGCGTAGAATACAACTTTTTAAAACTTTTTGCAAATAATTATAAATACAGGTATGTATTGTCAGATTATAAACTCCCTGTACCAATTTTAAAATGGCATTTTCAGATGCAGTTAGTGACGGATATTGTGCGAAAAACCATACTTATTGTTTTAAATTGGTAACCACAGTATTACTTTTTCACTATTATCTTTATGCCTAGATTTTGTATGTAAATTTATCAAGTGGGAATTAAAACCATTTTTCAATACCAACTCTTCTATGAATAATCATGTCTATTCATGATATACACAATCGTATGCAGTAAAAAATAACTTTTGAATTGACGCACCACACTGTACTCCATACCTGCAGAAGAGGATATGTGAGAGAGACTCAAGCTATGGTACACTGGCTGTTGACAAGTTAGACCTGTGTACAAATATCTGACCTTCCTACTAGTGAGTTACTATAAGGTTACCAACACATGATACCAACCTGCCGCTGGTATCTCCATGTAAGAAAACTCTATCAATAACTAACTGCTGATCGAATCTTACCTAATATTATCTCTACTCTAATACTGCACTAAGGTCATGATCGTCAGGTCAGACTAGCTCAGAGTCTCCAGTATTCACAGGAGCATCATGTAAAACACATCACTACACTACTACTGCATCACCTTACTAAACTAAGTCAATCAGGGTCACTTTTTTCTCTTCACAAACCTACAAAACCATTTCACAACACGAATTCATAAGGCTTTACAAAAAAAGGTCTGCCAGCTAACATTATCTCAATACAAACATAATGTTGATGTAAATATAGAATTGTTTATCTATAAAGGTGTGCTGAGAGCCAGGACAGAGGTAGACTTTGCTACAAATAAAAAAGTAGCAGCTACCTCTACATTTCATTTACGTAAATTAAAGTAATACTAATATATAGATTGTTATAATATTGAAAAATATATATTGCTGAAAAAATGCTATCAACTCGCGCGTGTTTATATATATATATATATATATATATATATATATATATATATATATATATATATATATATATATATATATATATATATATATATATATATATATATATATATATATATATATATATATATATATATATATATATATATATATACATATATATATATATATATATATATATATATATATATATATATATATATATATATATATATATATATATATATATATATATATATATATATATATATATATATATATCGGTATATATTTGACGGATCCAGCACTGGATGTACCTATGTACAACCGCTTCACTTACGAATTACGTCAAGAGTCGTAAAGATACGGCTTCTACGGACATTGAAACACCAGAAGAGAACTAGACCAGTATCATTAAACAATACAGTTGGACATAATACTTTACATTACCAGCTACACACGTGAGCTGAGTTTAAAATTCTAACAGTTAATATTTCGATTTTACAATCAAGACTGCTAAGGACGTCAGAGTCTCCAGGAAGGGTTTTACCCCCTGGTAATCAGTGGGCGGCCACAAGGCAGAGACTAGCTTACTAAGAATATACAGTACAGGCAAACTTCTTGGTAACATCATCGCTGAGTCACTCCCCTTCCCTCCCCCTTCTTATCAAAACTATTCACTTTCTCCCTCCAAATTTGATTCACTTTTGGAAAACCTGGATCCGCCACTATATATACCTATAAACAAGAGTGAAGAGTGAATACATGTTAAGATGATGCACACAGTTTTGTGTCTAAGATGAAAGTAGGTAGTCATAACACCAGGGAGCGGGCGTGTAAGCCGCCGAGGAGGTGGACCAGAGGTTGGTGATGACTGTGTGCGGGAGTAGAGGCACAGTAACAAGGCAAGGGACAGTGAGCAACACAAGTCAGAACACTTGATTGCTATAACCGACAAAACACACTCCATATTATATCTACATTCATCAAGATCAAGAAAGACATCAACAAGCATCAAAGTGAGAATAACTTTTTCCGCACCACAGAGTCCAAAAAGTTTTACAGTATACATTACTTATAGTTTATTTCACACACGTCTGTTTGTTGTACAGGGTTCTTGGACTTTATTGGTGCCCTTGAAATTGTTCCTGTAACTGTTAGATAAATCCTCAGAACCCACTGAAAAAAGTATCAACATTACATTTTCTATTTCATATTCATTTAGGATTTGTATTGCGAATTTTGACAGGTTTGTGCATTAACAGCCACAGGGAGGTAGTGTGACACTGGCTAAAATACAGTGATATATCGGGCGTAGTGTGTGGTAAACATTCACGATTTCTATATTTTCACCCCCCAGATTACTCGAACTAGGTTTACTAGGAGATAATAAATGTTGGCGCCACACACACATATAGCCTGCTCGAGGATACAGCAAGGCTCTGTTGTACTTAACGGCAATGAGAGTTTCAGGTCACCATCAGGATTTATGGGACTTATTGTCATGGTTATTGATGCACTTTTGCTCTCACTCGGTAAGTACACAACATTTCAAAAGTAATTTTTGTTGTTGAAACTTACTCATGGATGTATTAATAGACATCACTATTCACTTCAAACTGTACTCACCTTCTTAGCTAGATTGTCTGATCACTAACAAATAATGATTTATTGGACATTTCCCATTATTCTGTTTAATTAGAATCTGAACTTCCTACATTACAGTCAGAGGCAGAAGAACAACTGATGACATAATGTTTGTCAGTCGTAAGAACAACGTGAAAATTATTATCCTAACAACATCCCAAATCAAGTAGTGACTGTACTCCACTAATAAAAGAGTCGGTCACAAGGCTACACGATGGTTACTACAAGTGTGTCGGGATTTACTCAGTAGAGAAATGACTGACGATTCTTTGGTGTCAATTGAATAATGAGACATGGTTGGATGTGTGCTTGTGCTTTACAAGGAACGTGAACATGTCATGGGACTGTGACGCATCAAGACTTAGTGTCTGACAACCTTACTGTAAAAAATTATAAAAAAAAATTCTCTTTAAGAATATTTTGTGCGAAAAAAGACATTTTGAACAACATATATATTATACTTCTGGTAATTAGAAACCCTAAATTCTCTCGTTCATACTACTATCTTCCATCTAAACTCAAGGGGTATTCTAACCTACTGTACTTCATCCTCAGTAGATACATTATATATATATATATATATATATATATATATATATATATATATATATATATATATATATATATATATATATATATATATATATCGTGGAAATAAGTGATATAGTCCCATAAGGTATATTTTTTACTCTCACAGCAGGGTGGCTCAAGCAGATTCATCTTATAATTCGGTTACTGACCGTATCCACCAATTTTCGTGTTAAGGATCCAAACCCATTGACAAAAACATTTCCAAAGACATAGGAAGATAAGACCGAAAGTAAAATGAAACCCCGAATTCAGAAAACCTGGAATAAACAATATTTGCAGAGCAGTTTGGGATATGATAATTATGCAGCAACCACCAGGGTAAACTGGTACCCCGTTGTCGTAAACAGATAAAAAAGATAATCAGCAGCATAATGACAGTACACCAACTGAGTACAGTATCTGAAAAGCGGTTTCGATACTATAGACACTGAAGGACGATTCATAACAATGATACTGACTCACGAGACAAATAATTATAATGAACGGCAAAAGGAAAGCGTGTTTTGTTCCTACTACAAATTATGATATCCTGTGCCAAATTGTTCTGACTGCTACTTGTCTTTTAATGGTTAGCAAATCACCCAAGCAGATACAGTCGTTCTGCCAACGGATATACTGTATACCTATTGATGCATATGAAATAACAAACGGGACCAGTTTGTCAGCAGGGGGCTATAGTGTATGTGTGTGTGTGTGTGTGAGGGGGTAGGTAAAGAACTATCATTGAAGTACAAAAGAAACGCTTTACCTCTGCCGTGGTGGTGCGTGGACCATCTAGTCTTGACGCACTACTGCCTATAGACTAACACAAATTCTGTTATAGAAGGGATTCAGTGATGTCTATGGTACGTTGGCATACAGGAAGAAATATTCTAATAACTGAAGTCTCACGAAAATATCGGTAATTGATGAATATGATGTCGCTACTAAATACTGAACAAAACTGAACCAACTCATCCAGAACAACGTGGGACAAGACAGGCGGTTATCAAACATTTCTCATGACAGAATTTTAATAATTTCTGTAATTAAGAAATATCTACTCAAAATTTAGATTGATACCGATAGAGTGTATTGTGGAACTACTGCGGTATATAATCTTAATTTGTAACGTGAGCGATTAATCATCCGTCTATTGAAATATTGATAGAGTAAATTATCCATTTCAGTTTAAACTTATTATGCTACGGTTGCTCAGTTTTAAATCATATTTGAAACTATACTTTGTGCTGAATAATTCAATTTTTGGCACCTGGTAACTAAATAATTAAGGATAAGTTCAGCCTGCAAGTTATGGAAATGTAGATGTTTTAGTTTGACGGGTTGTTGGCGTGGTGTGCGGGCCGCTACCACTCGCCGCATCATCACCCTCAGCATATCTTATACTCACTCCCAACCTTGATTTTAATAAAAAAATATGGTCATACCCAAACTGTTCCATCTTGTAACTTACACGTGGTCCTTGATTGAAAGATATTAGGTTAATGTTTGAATTAGTGGGGAACGCAATCAGAGCTTTTAAAAGCATACCACACATGATCAAACATGAGTAGCATCTTTATGAGTTGCAGTGAAATATTGCTTACAGTCTGTTAAAAATATACGAAAGAAAATCAGAATTTGGATAACGAACACTCAGGAGTAAAATCTTCACCATGAATAAAATATTGTCATAATTTTGTATGATGATGGTCGTTTCCGTTATCTGCTGTCGATGTCAGTATTCTCCTTTCTTGACGTCCCAAGCGGATGAGAGCAGCTTGGGATCTGCTGTGGCCCCCCTGTTATGCGACGCGGCTCCAGGGGGGCGGGCCTCAGATGCTTACCCAAATCTCTCCAGCTGTGCGACGCCGCTGTCAGGAAGAAGAGCTGGAGGAAGAGGCAGACGATGCCGTGGTTGCCAGAAGGGGAGCTGTGACGTGTGTGAGGGTGGACCTGCGAGGCTCCAGGTCCAGTGACAAGCGATACAGGTTGTCATCGCTCAGGAGCAAGGTAGGGTCCAACAGGTACACTGTAACACGATGGTTATGTTCTATCTTGTATGGTGTCTGCTGGAATTGACGAATCTCACGGATAGTGTGAGCAATCTGAGGAACAAAACACAGTTACAAGGTGTGGTTCCCAGGGGATCATAGTTGCTTATGGGGTATGGGTGACCTCGGAGTAATAATCACTAAGGTGACCCATAACGATTAGCACGACACAATCTAAAATTCCTAGCGAGTCATAAAAGACTGTGATAGGTGTGAGAAGAATCACTATGAACATAAATAAATTAACCAAGAGGCATTAGGACAATAATTTATGTCATGAACCGCCACATAGTAAGGACTGGTGACTGACAGTAAAAAGTGACAGCATCAAGACATTGTTCAAAACTATGAAAACGAAATGGTAAAACTATCATTGATGACAAGAAAGGTAGTGATACCAATCACCGAGGACAGAAGAGTTTCATTCTACTGGGAATGGGAATATATATGTAATACTCAGAAATTTCGGTGTGATATTCGGAGACATAAGTGCGTGCATAACCAAGATGCCGATACGCTGAGTCATTCTAAGCCACGTGACAGATTGGCCAAGCGCCAACAACGCCTCCCTCCCAAGCGGACGGAGACTTTTGAACTGGGCCAATGCGATATTAAATGTAATTTACCAAATTAATGGACGCGAATCATGAAATTAAATGACATTATTAAATTTAAAATTATTATAGATCGTTTCTCAGTCTAAATATGTTACGTGTGTCCCAACAAAGTTATTAGTTATGCGGGAAAATATGGCACGTAGGCCCAGGCTGTAACAGCGCAATTTATATTATATAAATATTTACCCAAATGTATATTACCCATATATTCACCAAGTCATTCACCGATGTGTATGCATGAATTGGTGAGCGAGGTCAAGCTGGGTCAGCGCCTCTCAACAACAACAACCTGACGCGTATCCTGCAAGGCCCGCCTGACAGGATGCGCGTGAGAGAGAGACTATCATATCACCTGTTACCCAGTGAACATCTCACTTAAGTGCTCTCTTATAAAAGTGTACTAAGACATTTACCTCAGCAGAGAAGGTATAATATACTCTCAACTGAGCTCAGTACCTGTGAAACTATAGTTTTGTACAATAAAACAAAACCAACAAAGTGTTTACTTCAGCCTGCCACTTATCAAGTCAAGAACTAATATATATATATATATATATATATATATATATATATATATATATATATATATATATATATATATATATATATATATATATATATATATATATATTTTTTTTTTTTTTTTTTTTGTGACCAACACATGTGGCAAGAGGTGAGACGGATTAGAAGAAGACTCGGTCAAACACTCAGAAACAAACATGACTTCAATTTCATTTCAATTTCAATTGTTTATTCCTTGATAGAGGAAGTGGGATCCTAGTGCTGTCACTAGGTACCCCTGTACAATAACACCAGAAGCATCTGGCAAGTGTGACAAGTATATACAGTATAAATATTATAAAGGGACTTACAAAAGCCTAAGGAAGAAAGGATATTCCTTTAACACATATTTACATAATATCTGGCCAGTATGGGGAGGATCATCGTGTCTCCGTCAGGGGGTCGTGGAGTGGTGCAGGCGTCACGGAAGCGTTGTGTGTGGGCATTACTTCAAGTGATTCTAGTGACTTAAGTGGCACCCTAAGTGAATGAGCAGCAAACAAGCAATTACAAGAAATTTAAGTGGACAGTGGCTATAAACACTTGCAAAACATATACATAGAGACACAGTGGTAACAAAAACACTATAAAAGATAGAAGTATGAGAAACAAAATGGATGATATTAAGGCCTTGGTATGTACCGAAAAAATCGATATAATTGCATTCACTGAAACATGGATCAACCTAGACACACGTGAGTTACAAGTCGAATACCAAATTGCGGGTTACAAACTGTTCCATACCGATAGGCAGACCAGGAAAGGAGGCGGAGTAGCAATCTATGTTAGGGATAATCTGAAGTGTCAAATAAATAAGGAAATAAAAACTGAGCGGAATACAGAAACAATTTGGATAGAATTAATCGACGGTAGAGAAAAATTAATCACAGGAGTAATATATAGACCTCCCAATCTTGATAGAGTCAATGAGAGACTTATCTGGGATGAAATGCGCAGGGCTTCCATACACAACAAAGTCTGTATAGTAGGCGACTTTAACCTTGGCCAAATAGATTGGACTGACCTTACAGGTAACTCAGAATCAGAGGATTTTCTCGAGACTATCCAGGACTGTTTTCTAAGTCAACATATAACTGAACCCACACGGGGTAATAATATACTCGATTTAGTTCTGTCAAACAGAGAAAACCTCATTAGCAGGGTCGAGGTAGGGAACGAATTTGCAAACAAGGATCACAAAGAAATTAGATTCCAGTTAGATTTTCAGGGCAGACGTAAGGAAAATTCCACTAAAGTACCAGATTTCAGAAGGGCGAACTTTGACAGTTTAAAGAGGCAGCTGAGAGAGGGGGTGTCGCGCTTGGCCGTGAACCTGTCAGATGACACGGACCTGATAACGAGATCTGAGATTGCCGAGTTCCACGACAATTTAAATAGTGAGTTACTTAATGTACAAAGGCAGAACATACCATACAAAAAACTCAGATCAGACAACAATGACCCTAAATGGATTAATAATTATTTAAGGAACATCATTGGCCAAAGGAAGGCTATAGGTAGAAGGATAAATCGTGACGAAATTCACCTCTGGGACTATTATAGGGTATTGGCGAGTAGGGTTAAAACCGAGATAAGGAAAGCAAAGAGGAATAATGAGGTAAGGATAGCAAGGGAGGCGAAGACAAACCCCAAAGGATTCTACCAAATGTATCAAACTAAAACACGAGAAAAGATTGGACCAATACGGTCAAACACCGGCGAGCTCACTGATAACAACAGAGAAATGAGCAATAATTTGAATAAATATTTTTCAACAGTTTTCACCACCGAAAATTTAAACATGATCCCGAGGCACCGACTCTATTCAGAGATAGTGAAGAAAACAAATTAAGTGAGATAGTAGTGACTAGTAACGATGTTAATAAGCAAATAGACAAACTAAAGCCTAATAAGTCACCTGGTCCCGATGAGATATTTGCCAGAGTATTAAAGGAATGTAAGGAAGAGCTTAGTATGCCCTTAGCAAAGTTGTTTAACATGTCCTTAAAAACAGGTGTAGTACCAGAATCCTGGAGGATAGCGAATGTAATACCGATTTTCAAGAAGGGGGATAGATCACTATCCTCTAACTACCGCCCAATCAGTCTAACATCAATAGTAGGCAAATTACTGGAAGCAATCATCTCAAACTCTATTCGAAATCACCTGGAGAAGCACAGATTGATCAATGATTCCCAGCATGGCTTCACAAGCGGACGTTCTTGCCTAACTAATCTATTAACATTCTTTTCATCAGTTTTCGAATCGGTGGACGAGGGGCACAATTATGATGTGGTATATCTCGACTTTAGCAAAGCCTTCGACAGAGTCCCCCACGAAAGACTAATTAGAAAGGTAGAAGCACATGGCATCAAAGGTGACATCCTTAAATGGATTAGGGCATGGTTACAGGACAGGAAACAGAGAGTGAGCATTAACGGCACTAAGTCCCATTGGGGCAATGTCACAAGTGGAGTTCCCCAAGGCTCAGTACTTGGACCATTATTATTTATTATATACATAAACGACATAGATATCGGCATAGACAGCAACATAAGTAAATTTGCTGATGACACTAAAATAGGACGTGTTATTAAATCTGACGAGGACTCAGCAAAACTACAGGAAGATCTAAACAAATTTTTTGAATGGTCTGAAAAATGTCAGATGAAATTCAACGTGGACAAATGCAAAGTACTCAGTATAGGAGATGTAAACAGGGAAACCAGATACCAGATGAACAACGATGCCATAGAGAAATCCGACTGCGAGAGAGATTTAGGAGTAATGATAAGTAGGAACCTTAAGCCAAGTAAACAATGTGTTTTTGCTAGTAACAAGGCTAATAAAGTACTTGGGTTCATACAAAGGAGTGTTAGTTACAAGACTAGCCAGGTCATCCTAAAACTGTATCTTGCTCTTGTGAGACCACACCTGGACTATGCAGTTCAGTTCTGGTCACCGTATTACAGAATGGATATAGAATCCTTGGAAAGAATTCAGAGGAGAATGACAAGACTAATCCCGGGCATTAGGAACCTTGAGTATAGAGACAGGTTAAAGCATCTTAATTTGCACTCCCTCGAGAGACGTAGAGTGAGGGGCGACATGATAGAGGTGTATAAATGGAAGGCAGGGCTAAACAAAGGGGACATTACAAAGGTACTCAAACTATCCAACCAGGAGCGAACTCGTAACAATGGTTTTAAATTAGATAAATTTAGATTTAGGCGTGAAATCGGTAAACACTGGTTTGGAAACAGAGTAGTGGATGAATGGAACAAGTTACCAAATATCATCATTAACTCGAATACGCTGAATAGCTTCAAACATAGGTTGGATGCTTATATGAGCAATAGGGGTTGGGTGTAAACGGGACTGCCCAGTATGGGCCAATAGGCCCGCTGCAGTTTCCTCCATTCTTATGTTCTTATGTTGATTGCAAACTTAGCAGTCAAATCCTCAGTGACACATACTACTGAAGGTCACCCCCGACTGGAGCCGAGAGCAGCCGAGCCTACCTGAGTGTGGGCTGAGATTACTACCAGCTAACACTACATCACCCGAGTTTAGCAAGGTTGTCAAAGTGGTTCTAGACAATCAAACAATCTCTTGCTTAAACAATCAAGACTCGTCGGTGTGCAACAGAGGACAACCCCAGATCAGCCCCCAGGGTGATCGCACCAACCAAGAGTTCAGCCCCAAATCAGCCCCCAGGCCGATCGCTCCAACCCAGAGGTCAGCCCCAGATCAGCCCCGAGCTGACAGCCGCAAGACCCAGATCAGCCCCGAGCTGACCGCCGCAAGACCCACATCAGCCCCGAGCTGACCGCCGCATGACCCAAATCAGCCCCGAGCTGACCGCCGCAAGACCCA